ACTATTTTTATGATTTGTTTTTTAATAAGACTCTTGTAACTTGCAAATCCTTTTAAATTTTAATAAATACTTAAGTAATCAAATAAAATCTCTAATATTAATATTTTCTTATCTAAATAACTTAAAGTTTTATTTTTAATAATTCTAGAAATTAAAATTATTTATGGAACCACAATACTATAATATTAATAGTTAGTTATTAGTTTTAATAGATACTATTGATAAAAATAAAAACAAATTTTAATATATTTTAAGGATTTTTACATGGATTATATATTTATTTATAATATCATATCAAAGCTAATGCAAATATATTCTAATTTTGTTTTAGTTCCTTCTTGAATCCAAAACTTCTTCTACTTAAAATTTTAAATTTCTATCTATTTTAATAGGATGTGATGGTAATTTTTTTTTTTGCTTATAATTTGATTATAGCACAAGGCTTAACAAGAGATACATAGAATATATGATGAATCATCATTTTCTGCAATATTTGTAATCAATATTAACTGAATTAATTTTTTTAAATAATTTATTATACTAAGTCTTTAATTATTTAATTTTTTAAAAGATCAATTTGTCTTGATTTTACAATAAAATAAGTATGTCTTATTATCAACTTTAAATATAATTTTTTAATCTAAAAATATTTATATAAGTTTTTTATTTTATTTTTAGCTTTCTTTAGTTGTATCTGTATTATTGTGTAAAGCTCTACTATTCTACCAAATAAACATTCTATTTTTAAATTTTTTACTTTTAAAAATTTTAAAGTATATATTATAGATGATAATTATAATTATTAAAAAATAAAAAATAAAGTGAAAAAATATATTATTATATTATATTAAGATTTTATTAATAGCAAAAAAATTATCTAATTTTTTAGATAGTAGTTGATTGTATATTAAAAATAAAATTCTAATATTTAATTTACATATTTTATGTGTCTATCAACTTAAGAATAAAAAGCTAAAGATAACTTGATATTAGTTTTTGATATGCTAAAAAATATCTTATAAAACCTTATTATAAATTTAAAAACTTAACTAGATACAATTGTAATGAAATTCATAAGATTGATACGATGGAGTCTTTGCCCTCATATATGTGTTACAAGATAATATATATATCAAAAATTCTACTTAAAGAGTGTAATTGTTTTTTTTGTCTTCACATATAGTCTTGTATGTCTAAGATTTTGTATTACAAGCCAAATATATCCTCATATTTATTTATTTTTTTGAAATAGATAAGATTTAAAAAAAAAACTAATATATAATACAATTATCTTAAAATAAAAAAAAAACATATTGTTTATTAAATGTTAAGATAGAAATTAAAATCTTTGTAAGTCCAAAAAATATAATATTATATTCAAAATAGCCATAGTTAGTTTGAAATGCAATCTTTAATATTATTATTTTTTTAATATATATTAAATTTTAGGCTTTTATAGATATATTTTAGTATAGTTTTTAGTTTCCATTAATAAATCAGAGAGCCTCAATTTAAATAATAAAGAATAATGATTATTTAAATTTAATTTTTTGAGTCTACCATAGTTTATGGATACTTGCAAAAATCCATCTTTTTATGTTACAATTATGATTGGTGTACTTATAGGAGATTTCAAATATTAAATAAAGTACTTTGCAATATTTTTTTTAATTTATTCTTCTAGAGCAGCAAGTTTATTTTGCATTAAGTTATAAATTGGTCCAAAAGGTGGTTGAAATTCTTCTTGAAGATCAATTTGGCAATCACAAAGTTAGTTTTTTGACAATGTATGAACATACTTCTTCTTAAATACATATTACTATTTTTTATATTGCTCTAAAATTCTACTACAATCTCTATTAGAAAGATTTATATATATATATATATATATATATATATATATATATATATATTTTACAACTATTATAAATGTCTTAGTCATAAATAGATGTTTAACTATTTTAAACATAAAAAAATATTTTTTTATTCTTTTACATAAGGTAAAAAAAATCCAAGTCTAAAAATATTTAATCTATTTAATTTTTAATTTTAATTTTTAACTACAGCAATCCTAAAATAATAGAATTGGTAAGAGATTTTATAATATTAAATACTATTAGACTTTTATGGCCCTTTATAATTACTCCTAGTAATAAAATATTAAAAATTATACTTTTTTAAAGATAAAAATTATCTACCTATGACTTCTATATATATATAGTTGATTTGTTTTACTAATGATGGTTTATATTACTTAAAAAACTAAACCATTAAGAATCTTATAAATTGTATAGGCATTATAATCTAATAAAAATAATGTAAAAGCTTATGATTTTTATATCCTAAACAAACTTGTATTAAAAAGCAAGCAAGAAGTACAAAAGATAATACAAGGCCTTTATAAGATAATCTAGTACAAAAATCTAGCTATTTTTATGTTATGTAAAATTTGATTTAAAAATGTATTAGGTGTTTGGTTGTAAAAGGGTATGATCTTATCTTAAAGTTGGATTTATTATCCAAAAAACAATGCATAAGTTGTTTAGAAACACCTTTGCAATCTAAAACAACAAATTAGAAAAAAAATGCTCATCATTTGCTTGAGTATTTGGTGTCTTCTTTTTCCAACCTCAAAGAAAACTTCTAACTTGAATATCTCTCTCTTGAACAATCAACTTTGTCTCAAAGTTTGCAAGAATGTAAAAAAATTAGTCAACTATAAGCACATTAAGAACACATTCTAATCTAATTGGCAAATTGCTCAAAATCTAAAAAACACTCACTAATCAAAACTCAGTTTCTAAGATCTTATTCTAAAGGAGCTATAAGCTTAGTGTAGCGGCCTATTTTGTTCATAAATCTGTACATCAAAGTAGGGACAAACCTGTGACACAAATTTGACTGGGGGAGAGATCTACGGTCCCTTGACAGAGTTGTTGACAGTGCAACGACAAAAAAGGACAAAAGATCTCTCATGATGTGTTATTATGTTCTGTTTTTTATTTTTATTTTCTCATAAAGAAAGAAAGAAAGAAATAAACGAGTTGCAAATCCAAATTTTAAAAAGACTCAACTATGAAAAGACCAATAACTCATTCGCATCCCACTTTTAGCTACGAATAAAATGCACCAGTTCTCTCTGCAATCTCTGTGTCTCTTTTCCTCTTTCTCCATCCTCGCGCACAGTGCTAGAAGATGCGGGTTCACTTTCGTATGTGGTACGAAGGAGCCTATAGATGTGGAATCATTTTGTGGGCCATTCTTGCTCTTCCCTCAGCTTCGGACCTGTTATTTGCCTCTTCTTCCTCATCAGATATTACCTGCCCGCCGCCCATCTGACGTGTATTCATCCATTCAGCAGCTGCATCAAAACGGGACACTGATCATTATCCATGCATTTCCTCTGTTGAGATAGATATGTGTATATATATATATATATCCACACACAAACGTACACATACAATCTGAACCTGTGGAGCGTTTGTTTTGGGTGCTGTTTGTGCTATTATATGTTGCAGATAGGTAACTCCATCTAGTTTCTTTGGATGAGCTTTATGAGACACAGTTATTTTTGTGTGCTGGCTGAGTCAGCCTCTGTGGGGTTGAGAGCTCAGGAATTAGCAGCCCACATCTTCTTCTGCTGCTTTCATTCAGGACAAGATCATTTAAAGAGAGCGAGCTCTGCCGTGAAGTTGTAGGCCTTTGCCAAAAGCCGATAAGCTGTACATTGTAAGAGGGGGTTAACGTCAGAATTTTAACATCATGGAGTTGACTTTGAAACTGGAAACCTCTATTCCAACGCGTGCAGGTTTATCCCCACCACCAAAAGTATATATATATATATATATATATTACAGAAAGTTAGGGCCTCTAAATTAAAGGCAGCTCCGGCTCAAGTCGTTCTTGGTATTCATCCATGCAGTGGGCAACTTTAGGAGTTTGTCCCCCTCATGGGCCAAGTACGTTGTAGCATAGGTTAATGGTCACTGGTATATAGTGACATGTGAAGTACCAAATTGCTGAGTCTTGGAAAAATAAATTGCTCGGAATTGATCCGTGGATCTGTGTGAAGATATGTGTGCTTTAATCTCTATTGAGAATGACAGTTTTTGTGTACTGATGGGGCTACGCAGGAGAAAAAGTCTACCTTTCCCACATTATATTACAATGTATGTTTTCTCCTTGCTCAGCAGTAAGAATGTGACATGCAGAATGCCTCCTTTAAAGATCCTCTTTGTCAATATCATATCAGTACGTTGGGAGGAACTCTATTATGTAGAAGAAAAGTATTTGATGTGACCACACCACAAAACGATCAGTTGTAGTTGCCAACTTTATGACACACAGTTCTTCTTTGCTTGCCAACTTTGTGCAACAGTTGACAGGAAATTAATTTTGAACACATGAAAGATATGGGCATCGACAAAGGTTCGAGGACTTCTGCTGCACTCAAGATATACGAACTAGTGTTCAGATCTACCTTGGCTATTTCCGCATGAAAGTGGGATGGGGGGACAAGAGAAAATCACACATGTTAATGGCCATCAATGGTGACCGTTTTCTCCATCTAGTCCGTTTTTTTTTCTTTTTTTTTTTTTTTGCTTTTTAGACAGCCTGCGTCTATGTGCTCATTTCTGTCTCGCACAGCAGGGTGGTTTGTGATGCTTCTAGAATTCGAATCAAGAGTAGGAATAGGTCTTAGGACTATATTCTCGGTCCAGTTGACGTTGTGCACATAATCACCGCTGGTCTCAGCTAAGATACCACCGATTCAATACTAGCAAGCGCTCCAGCGGCAACCCAAGTGGCAAATGTTGCAACTGCAGGATACGTCAGCGATAATATTTCAATGTCTCGTAGACTTTGTTTCCATTGATTCTATAGGAGGGGTTGGTATACACATTAAAAAAAAAAAAAAAAAAAAAAAAATCCTGCTAATGAGATCCATGTGTTCTTAAATTTGCCTCGAATTGTGGGAGTAGAGCCCGACCGTACCCATTGAGAATTGCCTGGGGAGCAAGAGAAGGACATAGCGGGTAGTATATTATGATCCAGAATTTAGTGGATCAGCCTGAAGGATGTGGTTCATTGTACGCCATGGAACTATTCAGCCAGGACGCCGATATACTACAACTACCTCCTCCAGTTGTGACACTTCGTCACTATATAGCAGCCCACTTCTAGCACTTCTATGACTCGCTTACTACTTTCAACTTCTCTTCTTTGTGCCCTTTTTCTGCAGGTTAGAGATCTTGTCCTTCACGCTACGAAGTTCAGCCATAACAAAAATTCGCATCCTGCAGCTCTAGCATCTTTCCAGTGAGCGTTAATTCGTGGGAAGTCATTCAGAATCTAGCTCTTTGTTCAACCTTTCCTAGGGCTCATACCCACTGTGAAGCATGAGCTTGTGATTTGTCTCCTGCCAGCTGAAAGTTGTGCTAGAAATCCATGTCAACAAGCGAATTTCTTGATCGGAAGTACTATTGTTGGAGTTCAGGGGAATTAGTGGATAGCTGATATGACGGGGATGTTTACAATGCCTCTGTGAATGGATTGTCATGAGTTGAGAAATTGAACTACGTGTGTCCATCGTTCTTCCCGAAGCTAAAGTCTCAATCAGGTTACACTCCGAACGCAACGACAGGCAAAAAGCCGTCGATTAATCATCCTGGCTCGTGGAAGTTGATTTCGATTAAACAGATTGCTTGTTCCTCTCCCTCAAAGGCTTCCAACAACAGGTACTTGGTCTTGTTTTCACCAGCAAAGCTAAGGCCCGTCCCAGATGTTAGAAGCCTCTGGGGGTGACGAAGCAGCAGCTGTATGGGTGGTTCCCATACTACAAAACACATCCCAATCTTCAAGTTCTTCTCGGTGATCAACATACGGTAAGTCTCAATGCCATTCTGTGCATTATCAGTTCTTAATCCCTTTATATTCAAACAACAAAGAAGGTTTAATAGGAGGTGTATGGAACTTTTTGTACAGGTTACTAATTCTTCTAACTTCCGCCGATAAATAGAGATCAATCAAGCTTCTATGCTGACCCGTCCGGAAGATCACAATACCATTCGATCGGCTTTGAGTTTGACAATCAAGCCGATGTAATTGAGGTCAGTGATCGGTTACAACAGCTTGCCCTGTTGAAAGAGCCATTAAAGCCGGTGGCAGATATTACTAAATAGGATTTTGATGATGTGAACGTTGCCTTCTTTCAAGTATTGTAATTCGTCTGGTGTATCTGTACCCTCCAAGAGAACTTGGTTCTTCAGAATAAGAAGGCTCCGACAAGCTCGTGAAGTTGCGGCAAAAGGCGGTAATGCATGACACAAAAAAGGTAATGCTGCAGCACTCGCACTCTAGGATCGAATCGTGTAAGTTTTGCATTAACCTGAAGTCTTCAAGCTAGTCAGAAAGTATGTATCATGGTGATGATAGTGTACATGACAACGCAGTACCTTAAGCGTGCAAGTCAACAAGGCTTCATACCACTGCTGACATTGCTACACTCGTAAGACTTAAAAATTTGCATCATAGACTAGGTCGTTGTCTAAAAAGCTGAGAAATGCATCTCTAAACATGATGGCTCAAAAGATACACAGACTAGACAATGGGTAACACCAGACTGCTTGCTCGGTGATCCCAGGTTTTCATATGATTAGATAAATCTCGGTCTACACATCCAAGCCACGATCAAAATTTATTCATAATTTAAAAAGGTGGAAGATGCACAGCTAAGATCAGTGCCAGGCTCGCATATAATGGCATACTCAACACCATTATGTAAGACAATCAGACAAATTGTACTACTTCTCCACAAATGTCAAAAGATCTTGTGAGATTTAACCGCCGAGCTTTACTGACCTTAAAAGAATTATGTAACAGGAGAGTGTTAACTGCATGGAAAAGCCTACCAGCCTCGTAACAGTCAACCATCTTTTCTAGTGATTCCTTATAATGGTAATGCCGCAGCTGTTTGATAATTGTATTACTGCTCATCAAGTAGATCGATAAAGAAAATCTTGACCATTCATTGATAGTAATCTGAGGAACTATCAGTGAAGTAGCGGTGATGTCGAGTAGAGATATACAACTGCTTTGAAAGTTGACTGTTTATCGAAGAATCCGTTACTGATGATCACTATAGTATAAAAAGCGGAAAATGGGTTGACCAGCTCTAAGCTCTCAAAATTATACTGCAAACCCAATTTGCAACTATGTGACTGAATCCCCCTGCAAAGACAGGGCTAAGGCATAATCAGCACGAGTTCCTCATGTCACAGCTGTACAAGAAACAATGTGATGTCGACTAGTGCCTTCCAATCTTTAGAGCCTCCTGCTGCATTGTACTAGTCTGAGACATTCCAAGTCATCATCACACAGCACGTTGTTTTTCATTGGTGACCAAGCTAGTCCCTGTGGGAACGAAGTCCTTGTCAGGCTTCCACGCCGAAGCAGTGAGCAGGGGTTGCTCCATCCAGCCCAGTGTGACGGCCCCATTTTCCTCTGCTAGTGTGTACCCATCCGAATCAAACATGCGTAGGAGAATAAGTGCCTGCGTGTAGGCACTGTCTTCAAGAGGGACTTTGACGAAGCCCGATCGGCTCATAATTGAGCGCCACCTGGAAATATTCTCGTGCCTTTCCATCCTATCTGTGCCCTCACATGACAGAATGTTGCGAATCTCACGCGCAAATAGCTGCTCCACTTGTACACGAGCGCTACTTTCTCTTGAAATATTAGCTTCCAGAGAATCAAAAACAGCAGAATAGTATTGTAGCGACTCCAAGAATCTGCCTTCAAACTGAGGACTGTTGTGACTCCCCTCCTGCTCAACAACAGCCACCACTTTAGGTTTTGTACTCCCAATCAGGTTCAAGAATCCCTCAATGGTTTCTCCAGAGTCATAGAGCAACCGATGTAGCTGAGAGATACAATTGACAGCAACTGCTTCGTTCTCTTTCACGTGCAGCATCCATAACCGCACATCCTCAAGCCTGTCAATAACCGCGTGGAAGGTGAATGGGATGTTAAATTCTTCCGCGAATTCTGCTAGCCGATCACCTGTCTCCAGAAGATCTTCCTTGCATTCTCCAATGCCTGTAGAAATCACATACTGGTTATTCAGTAGCAAAAACGAAAAGTTGAGAATAGACACACGGGTCAAGACTATTATGTTTAGAAGCGCACATATACCTTCGCCTTACCCAGGACACATACGAAGCAAAGTTCTGTTCCATGCTAAGTTTCGGTGTGAAACACAGACAACGACCTGACGCATGAAAATCGCAGGTTGGAAGACTGGGATGAGTGAAAAAACTACAAAGCCCCAAACAAGGAAAATTAGCAATTACTAAAACTTTAGTCACCTGATCGAATGGTAGGTGCTTGAGTGAAGGGTCTCTGGCACGAACTTAATGCACGAACTTAACAGCACATATGTTTCCAACATGAAGGAAGATCCAATATAGTGACACAAGGTTCCTAGACGACAGGGTTCCTCACATCTCGTGATTTAGGTATCTCATTAACGTCAATGTCGTTATTCGAGCACTCAAACATTGACAATTCACCATGCAACATCCCTTACAAGAAGCACTGAAAAGGAAAGACTAAAGGATTCTGACCGGTAATGCGGATATGCGAGGGCGGGCCGCACTCCCGCACGGCCAAGCTCTGAAACAACGCTGGCCATTGGAGACCCTGCTTTACATCGAAATCGATGACATGCACACGGTCCGCGCCCTCAAAGCCCTGCAAGATAATGTCATTCGCAGTGAAATGGGCAAATTTTGTGTAGGGCACGACGTGGTTGAGCAGATGGAACGCTGTCTGCAATTCCTCTTCGTTGAGACTAGACTCAATTGGAAGGGGTTGGTAGATGTGCGGCCACAAGTGGGCAACCCGGCAAGCCAATCCTTCCGTGAAATATGCAGCCACCCGCTGCATGGCAGTGCCTTGAGGAGAGGCAAGCTCACCCAGCTTTGGCAAGAGATGATTCACCAGGCTTAGGCTCTGAGTGGAGACAGCCTCAGCACACGCAATTAGAAGGGTGACGAGCTCATGGCCCACCACAGCAGGGGAATTGTGCGTGTCATCGACATCGCCATCACCACCCCCACGGGGGGTGCCACCAGGGCTCTCCACCTGCAAATATTCCAACCCACTGCCCCCGGGATTGTCGTCACCAGTGTAATCGCTAGGACAAGGAGAGCTGTGGCCTCTCTGGAAAGCAAGAAAATGAGGTGAACAGGAATCGACGCCCGGAGTGAAAGGGGTCGTGCATTCCTCGGTCTCTTGAGCGCTAGTGGAATAATCTCCATTTCGCAGGTCTTCCATCAGTGATGCCATCCATTGCTTGGCCCGGAGATTGTGTTGCGTAGAGGTAGTGGTGGCTGCCTCCCATTCATCCAAGCTAGAGGTTGTTGCCTGAACGTAGTTCTGTGATGTCGGCAACACGGACAGTTCCTCTACCTTGTGTGTAGTGATCGAAGTCGGATAGCCCTGTGTCGCAAGATCTGGCGCCCAGGTAGTGGTTTTGGCGAGGCTGGGGCCGTATTGGCTTGGAAAGGGTCCACTAATTGGGCTTACGCTACCGCAGCTTTCAAAGTTTAACACGCGTGGGGAGGAGCTCAAGCTAGGCGCAGCTACAGGAGCCACATTGTGATCGAGAAACGTCTCTCTAAAACGGCGCGGCAGGGTGGCTCGGATAGTGGGCAACTGGTGCTGTTGCGGACTGATGGTTAGGTCAAGCACAGACCGAGGCTCCGACATGGGCGCAATGCATTTCTTCACATCTGGGGAAGAAATCCCTTGCAGCGGGGTAGACGGTGCTGTTCGAGGATAATGCTGCCTGATTGGGGTGCCGGGACACAATGGACTATTGCTAGCGCTCTGGTTCTGATGCTGGTGAAAGAAACCCCCGGGTTCACCCTCGCTGCGGTGATCCTCCCCACAACGAGGACTTCTCCACTGCCCACTGGACTTTTCTGCCTCGCAAGTCGTCGCGGTCTGGTCCGGCCACATGGTGGTGCCTGCCCTTCGAAAGCTAGGCGAGCCAGCGGTGTCGGTATTGGAGAGCTGTTCGCCTCTCCTCTCAATAATCTGCCGCGGCTCAAGCCCTTTCTTCAGCATAAACTTCCCTGGGGACAAAACGCGGTTGTTCCCACCGACAACACCGCGATATGAAGGACTTCCAGACAGTCCCGGTGAGCTACCCGGTCCGGGAGCCCCATGCGGACTGCTCACACCAGAACGAGGCTGCGACGGACTACTGGATCTCCCCGTCTTTACCGCGGGGAGACGGAAAACTTCGTCCAGCTCCCCGGTGAACAACATCCCTCTCTACTCTACCACCCAATTTCTTCCAACCCCCCCAAACACCAGAACTCTCTTGCTACACCCCCCAACCTCACAAAACCTAAAACAAGTTCAAACACAAAACATCTCTCCCAAACCTCTTCCCCACCTCTCATCGAAGCCCTCATCAAACTATCGTTCCCCCATTTCCACCCTTCCCATCTCTCTCTCTCTCCAATCCCACCCACACCAATCACACAGTACGCTACTCATCTCACCTTCTCTCCAACCATGAGTTCTCTCTCACCCACCTGCAATCGGTCTTGGGAATCAGTCGATCCTAGCCGATTGGAGAAAGCAACGAAGGACAAAGAAGGAATTGCTGAATCAGAACATACAAACCATACCTGGAGTGAAATTCTGCTATCTCCGGAGGGAGGAATGAAAGCCCCGCATTTGAAAGAGGAAGGAGTGGGGCTTTCCCTTCACTTCCCTCACTCGCTGGTTCTGTGTGACGCCGTCCGAGTGTGCCGGGCCATGCCGTTGCAAAACTCAATGAATGCCACGCGGGATTTACTCTTCCCCCTGTCTTTTATATAATATTTTCTCTCATCCCGCGCACTTACATGTTTTGACGAATGTAACTATGCGATGCGTTACTTCATTCATCCATTCGTTTATTCATTCGTTGGGTTGACTAGTTGGGTGATTGTGTGTTGTGGATCACAAGTCTCCCTTCCTTTCAATTTCTCCTTGTATGTCACTCACATCCACTGTTTGTTTGTATTGTGGATTAAGAACCAAAGTTGAACATGTCCATTGCATGGTGCGCTTGCGTACATTGCTAAAAAATATATTATAATAATAATAAATTCTTTAAACAAATCTTTGAATAGGTAATTGAAGCAGTGACGTGTGAGATAGATATTGCACATATGAAATTTAGATATAAAACAATATTTAATGTACAAGTCAAAACATTCTTTTTTTTCATTATCTTAAATGTGCATACTATACACATGTTTTGACCACACTTCAAATTTTAGTTGTTCTTAGTCCTAGTTGTAGTAAATTCTAGTACTGTAATTCATTTAGAAGATTACTAAATTTTGCAATATTAGTTCTTTTAGCTTTTAATGCATATATTTGTAAACAAAACTAAGATAATTTGAGTACTTTCAAGGAACTTAGAAAGAATTTGTGAGTTAAAATTGTTATATGGTACACTATTAATAACTATAACTTCTAATTAAGTTTGGGAGGTCACTTTTAAAGTTCAAATTAAGTATTTAAATATAGTCATTATTATTTCTTCTTTTTTTCTTTTTTCTTTATTTTGCATGTAATTGTATTATATACAATAAAAAAAATTTAAAGAGAGGCAAATCATTCTTGTTAACTAAACTATTGACTAAAGCTTTTAAAATATTAAAAATTTATTGTTTATATAATTAATATAAAAAATACAAAATATTATATGGTTAAATTAATAAAAAAAAAACATAAAGAATTTTTTTAATAGTGATAAATAAAGTATAGAAATTTTGGGATTTATTCTTTAATCATATAGAGTATAAAATATTTTTAACATTATTTTCATGATATTTTAAATATTAATATAATCAAATAAAACTTGAATAATTATTATCAGACATATATTTTTGAGTTTGGCTGTAATAATACAATATTTTTATTTTAAAAAATTATTACCAGGTAAAAAGTGTAACTGTTAAAGATTATTGGAAATATATATATATATATATATATATATATATATTGTTAACAAAATTTGATAGCAAATGAATAAAATTCAGAGGCAAAGGCTAGCATTAAAAAAATAAAATAAAATAAAATAATGAAACTGCAGTTCAACAAGATTGAAGTCTTTTCATTATATCTATCTATCTATATATATATATATATATATACATATTTATAGTAATTTTTTATTTTTATATATTATTTTTTTAAATTAATTTTAAGAAAATTAAACACCATCTCAAAAAATGAAAACATGTGTTAAAGCTTTATTTCTTAATACATATGTGATATCTTTTGTATATAATTGTAGATCTAATCTTTTAGGAGTATATTAAACAAAACTATAAAGAAAAAAATTATTAAACAGTGTATTTTTTTTCTTCTAATAGTAGTATAGAAAATTCTTAAAACCAATTTTAGGGCTATTTTTTAAACACTCTCATACTTTAAATTAGCTATCTATTGAAAGAAAAAATTATCATCATTGATTTGATTGTATAAGACCAATGAGAACTTAATACTCTTGAAAACTGTGATTTAAAGCTTAATACTTAATACTCTTGAAAACTGTGATTTAAAGCTTAATACTTAATACTCTTGAATTCTTTAATAAATAAGTTAAAGAATTTTTCTTTAAAATATTATTATTTTTATATCTCGTAATATACAATATCTCCATGTCTTATCTTTAAAATAAAACTTTAAAACAGATAAGTTTTTTTTATTTATTTTACTTCTTCAAAATAGATCTTTATTTCAAAAAAAATAAAAAATAAAAAATAAAAAAAACTAAATTGATATAATTGAAGGCGTTCATATATATATATATATATATATATATATATATATACATAATTTTATATATTTAATTTTTTTGGAAAAATTTTCAAATAAATAGAGCATATATAATTGTAACAAATAATTATCTTATAATTTTTTTCTTTTACCAATTTGAATAATTAATTGTGAAATTTGGTTTTTTTTAGCAGTACATTGCTGAGAATCCAACCAAAAATTTCACATGTTCTAAACTTTTCTTCCATTATATTTTTATGAGTTATTTCTTTATTAATAATAATTATCTAAATTTTAAATTATTTTTTTGAAAAGATAAATAAAAGTCTAAAAAATATGTTTTGAAAATTATAATTTCCTAAATAAATATAATCTAAGATAAAAATAAATAATTTAAAATCATATACTACTAAATACTATCAAATTGTTAGTATTAAAATGTGCAACAACTTCAAATAAAAGGATTTGAAAATCACAGTTTTTAAGAGTATAAAGTTCTTAGCTTTAGTCAATAGTTTTAAATCACAGTTTTAAATCACTTGTTAAAGAAAAATTCTTATTATAAAAAATATTATTAAATATTTTATATATATAATTTTAAAAATCTCAAAGAAATAAATTCAAAATATTATCTGATTGATTTATCACAAATTTTTTAAATGTTAATTTCATTATTATAAAAAAATTAAAAAATTAATATTTAAAAATACAATTAGCAAAAATTAAGAAACATCATTTTGCAATGATAAGATGTTTAATATAAATTCATGCATTTATTTAATCTACTAGTACTGTAAAATGAATGTTTGTTTATTACATTTAATAGATCAAAAGATGTGAATTTTAAATTTTCCTTACTTTGATGAGTTTGAAAATTTCATTGATGATACCAACTTTCAAATAGAACCTAAACCATATCATACATAAATGGTAAAGGCTAAGAATATTTCTTATTAAGACAAGATCTAATACAATTCTAGAATCACAATTTGATTACAATGTGTATGAATATATATATATATATATATATATATATTCGTTACTTCATTTATTTAACACATATTCAACACATATAATGTACATTTCAGCCAAGAAGATAATAATAATGATAAGAACATACTTTTTTACATTGTGAAGGGGCATACATTTTTAGTAAACTTAACATGATTTTTAGTTATTTTGACAGACAGAAATTCTACTATATTGTAGATATAACAATAATAATAAAAATATTTTTGAAACTCAATGTTTAGAAATGGTCCAAAATCCATGCTTTCCTTGCTGGCAGTTCACCTCACAGGAGGCCTGCAAAAGTTGATTGGGTCCTGAAGCGACGAAGGCAAAGCCAAAGCCAAAGCATCGGAAGGGGGAAGCGAATGGTCATGACCACACTCACCCGGGAGTAGTAGAATATGCTTTTCACACCTACTTCACGAGGCACCCACCCACAGATCCCTTGCAGAAGAAGCACTAATCCTCATTATCACTTGGGTATGAGACCCTAATCATGTGCTATTGATAAAAAAATAAACACAACAAAAGCCAAACAAAGAGCTCATGACACCACGAAGGTCCATGAGATGTGCTACTCCAATGCCATAGGCAGGGGTGCTGGCCACCCTTTGCGAGAAGCAAGTGAACTTCGAGGTGGTTCCTGTGAACATCGTGAAAGGCGAGGAGAGGAAGCCAGAGTTTCTAGCCTAGCAGGTACAATCAAGGTTGCAATCATCAGCTTTTTTGTTTAACAATCTACTGATAGAGATCTTAGACCCAGTCCCAAGCGGGATATTGTACGCATTCGGAGTGGTTTTTGTACATTCTTCACTCTTTCAGTTTACTTGGTTTTAAACGCATGACAATGATAATGATCATATGAGTGGGTTTTGAGTGTAGATCGGTGTTCATCTTGAATTGAGTCCATGCCTCCACTTAACGTGCACTCCTCTTAGAAAAGCTGCTGAAACGGCAGAATTAGTGCAGACCTGCATTCTGTTAAGTAATTCGTTCAACCCATTCATGTGGATATATATATATATATATATATATGCATTACACATTACCCTGTTTTCAACTTTAAAATTACAAAGATAATATACTCTAATTCATTTCAAAGAATCGACAATGGATGGCAATTTATGTCTTCGCTGAGCGCATTTAATCAAATTATGCCTAGTCTCTGGTCCTGCAGCCGTTTGGTCAAATACCAGTTCTGAAGGATGAAGATCTCCAACTCCACGGTATGTTTAGCATCTGCTGGCAGCTCTTGTTCGTGATTCAAACTGTCTCGTCCTTGCTTGCAAAGTCCTGGAATTTCTGAATCCTCGCCACCTTGACAATTCGAAGGGTTAATGAGCATCATTTCACGAGATAGACGGGTGGCTGGAAAATGGCATTGAATGTCTGCGGATGGATAGATTGGCGCAGAGTCACGAGCATGTATGAGGTACATTTGTGACGAATTTCCAGAGCGTGGGACAAAGTAGTATGATCAAGCCCAAGGGATAGGGCGATGGTGGAGCAAAGGCTGGAAATCGAGAGTCCAGAATGCTCAGGGCAAATGCTGGACCTTTGTGAATCAGCTTCTGTTCGGGCCCTTATTCCATGGCAAGCATTCCGATTCAGACGCCGTCAAGAGCCTCACAGACGTCATTCAGACGTCTCCAGACGTCATTCCTGGAAGAAAATCCTCGAGCAAGCAATGACTGACATCGACAAGTGGAAATCAGCCATGATGTTGAATACCCAACCAAGAGCTGGCCCACAATTTCGTTTGAGACAACAAAACCATCGATTTCAAATCCAACTGCTACGCATTCGCCTCATGAACGCATGACTCTATGAACTTCTAGATCAATGTTTATACGGGCACCTTAGGTATAACATCGATGCTAGAATGCGAGAGTTCAGGATCCTCACCATGATTTCTGATCGAATACGCAGTTTGACAATGAGAAGCTTGAATTTTGAAATCGAGCTGCGATAGAAGCCAACCTTCCTGAACACATAAACTTGCGATTCAGTTGTGCGCTGTCTCGCCTGATAGCTTGTGCAAACACTAGCAACACACATTCTGCAGCTGAAACCATCGTCCTATTGCAAAGCTGATCACACCTCGTCGCTTATTGATCAGATTCTAAGTATAGTTTAAATTCCATGATCTAGTTCAAAATATGGAATGCAATTGTGCCTGGATAGTATTGCAAAGTCATTCACTTCTTGCTTTTTTGTGAGGAAAATTTTGGAAAGCTTTCAACAAAAACAAATAGATAAGATACGTATAGTTTGATATTTTTTTAAAGTTTTCGGATGTGTGAAATTGTATAACTTGTTGTTAGCACCATGTATTTTGTGATAGAAAAGATGATGTTTTATTAAATAATTCTAAGAGAGTAAAGTTGGAAGATATCTTCAATAATCAACCATGACTTGGTCACCTCAACCATGATTAACCATTTTATGTTATACAGTAACATGTCAACACTTTATTGTTTACGTATTGATGACAAAGTCTAAATTGCTGACAAAAGAATGATTGCAATGCTTCAAAAGTTTGCCTCAACCAAACAAATAAACAAAATCAACACTTTTACATAATCTTTTTTGCTTAACAAAACATGCATACAATGACTTTGGCATGTTCTTTTTGTACTGGTTTTTATATAATATCTTTTATATTTATCAAATTTTAAGTGCCAAACATATATTTTACAACATTATAAAACAAAGATCTCCAAAAAGATTAAAATACATAACATTGTGATAATTTTTTATTTTTTATTTTTTTAAATATGTGCATGTGTGTGTATATGTATATTGAATGCATACAGAGGATTGGATTTCACAGTTGTTTTTAAATCTTAAATTGTCCCATAAATTAAAGATACAATAAATTGAATGAAATTAGTACAATCAAGTATTTTTGCTAATTATTGGTCTTTGATACAATACAAAGAGCAAGGGTCATGTTACCATAAAATAGACCTTAAAAATACTAAATGTTATTTTTTAAACACAATAATAATGTATCTGTACTTCTATGTAACTACTAATTTTTTTCAGATTTTCTACAATTGGATTCATTTTCTATAACAGCACTAATTTCAAAATATATCATAAAAAATAAAATTTAGCACAATATTGAAGTAATTAATCTGAAATCTTTGAAACAGTATTAATCACTTGTCACTTCATGAGCACCCTTAAAATGGATTCTTCAAGGATTTTAAACTAATTTTGAAGAACAAGTACCCAACTCACTCATTTTCACCTCATGTATCTGACATTCAAGAGTGTCTACATACAAACATAGATGTCAGATAGTTACATCAAATTTTGTGAACTGCTCACTAATAACCAATTGTTGGGAGTCTCTAAAATATTGGTAAAAAAGGTGCACAACTAAAAATCTGAAATTTTTAAATTATAATTTAAAAAAACACAAAGGATCATTTGAAAGCCGTTAGAGAAGATTTGGAGTTAAAGATTTAGGGTTTATTAAAATGTTCTGGTGCCGGGAGCATTTTGGATTTTCCGTTCATGCAGTACCAGGTAACAGCTACGGCCATCTCAACCCTAGTCTAGATTGAAATGAATTTGTTTAAATCTAGTCTGGAGGGATTGAATTCTGTCCCAAGCGCAGATTAACCTACGAGCAACAGGATGTAAATGTTTGGTTTTTGAACAAAAAGCACATCCGTTACTTCGAAAACATTCCTGAGGGGAAAATAGGTTTTCATTATTAATGCATGTGGCTGATACAATAACAGGGGAAGAATAGGTCTGACAGGCCTGTGCGCTTTAGGTTGTATTCAGGTTGATGTTGTGGCTTCTACATCACTTATGGCACTAACTTTCCTCCCTAGCAATGATCTACTGTGATTATAGAAGTTATAATACCTGCATTATGCTCTATTTCTCCGAGTCAGCCTTTGCCAATTCTAGAATCGAATTCCGTAGAGGCCAGTTAGAATTAATGCTTTAACCATTTTAGAACTGAAATTGCATCTCCTTGGTATATCCAAGAGCTTCACAATGGCCTGCTATGGCCCTGTTCATGGGTGGAGGACCACAACGCAGAATCTGCCACATTTTGATTTATGTTAGAGAAGTTCATGGACATATTGAGATGGACATCCTCTTAGGACAAATAAATAGATCTTTAGATAACCGATCCAAACATCAGTTCTACAATTGCGTAATTTTGCCAGAGAAAAACTCCTGCAATCTCAAAGGTAAATACCTGAACATCAGCAGCTGGAGGAGGACAATGTCTCTCAATCATATCCTTCGTCACAAACCCGACACCTCCACTCCACTCCGTTGGGGGCTGCACAAAAAGCACACAAAAGACCATGGACAGATTCGTTCACGATTAGACTAAGCATGACGTTGCAACAGCATGTTCACAAGCGCAAGATGACGATGAACAGCAAGCACGAAAGCAATAGAGTGATCGTCCACGCGCACCTCGTTCAGAACATAGTAGACTTTGAACTGGTCTGGGCGTTCTGCTGCCATTCGGTCGAGATCATCCTGTGGTGGCAAGTGTTTGAAATTGTTAGGAAAATATTACAAAACACACCAAGTTAACACTACAATTAGAGGAATACATGAGACCAGAGTGTTCCTAATAATTCATAAGGTGTCTTTTTATGAGTTGTTTTTTCACTTTGTGTAACAGCGGTGTCCCATATGCAACAGAAAACAATGTGATATAGCAGAATGAGCACCTTGAGTAAAATGTCCTCATATGTGACATTTGCATATATCAAAGATATCTTAGTCTTATCATGAGAGTTCTCCAGAATCGCTCTTGCAACCTGCAAAATACCCATTAATACTTTCAGTGATACACACAGCTCTCAAGAACAACAAGTCCCAGACATGTATATCAAAGTCCGTCTTAATCAGGTCAAATTGATACATAAGAACCAGAGATACTGAAAATTAATTCACGGGGTAGAAGTAAGTTAGGCATGATCAAGATTGAAGTACAACTTTCTAATGTTCTGTAGGCCAAGATGAACAGGTAAATTCGAAGATGTTACAAGAACACATAAACTGATTACTACCTGATACATGGGAGTAAGACCAGTTCCACCGGCCACCATTCCAAATTCTCTAACTTGGTTGGGTTTGTATTTAAAGCGTCCCTGAGTCAACCCAAATTACCATGTCACTTTCATTTCTAAACCAGTGGCAGCTGCCACTTTTCAAAAAGTTCGCCATAAAATACTCACTCCAGAGGAACATGTCGCAAAATCGAGTGCACCTTTCTGACCACTACAAAGACAAACACACGAATTGCAAAAAGCCCCCAAGACAATAACCATCCATGTTCAATTCATGCTTGTGGAAAGCAAGCCACGTTTTTGGAAACTTGGCAAATGCATACTAACTTATAATCCCACACTGGTGTTTCGAAAAACTTGTTCTACATATCATTCAATGCTGAATTAAATGACAAGATAGCAAACCTTGGGACCCTTAGCGGCAAGGTACTCGCCCTCCTTCATGCGACCGAAGTAAGACGACACTTTCCCTTCCTTGTAAACCTGAAAAAATTGCAAGACAGGATGAGCTAATTCGATTAAAAAAGAATAACTCCAACATCAGCGCTTATCATGTACAGTATATGTATTACGATTCGGTCAATACAGAATCACACAAGTTTGGATATAACGCGATCGGGTGCGAAGGAAATCTCACCTTGACAACAAGCTCAAAATAACCAAGGTCGGAATCGAGGGTGGTGGGGGTATACGGCCTAACGACTTCAGTACCTTCGGAATCAAAGCCCCTAGAAAAGAAAAGAAAAAAAAATGAAATAAATAAATAAAACTGGAAGACTGTAAGAGAAAATAAGCTCTCAGTCTCCGTGCACAAAATTTGCCACGCAATGAATCACAGATTTACGACCCACATCAAGCTTCATTCACATCATTGTTTCCCGTGTGAACTCGAGCGTAAGTGACGACACATTCGAGAAGAGCCTATTCAGTGACTGATGACGAAGAAATATAGGAGAAGGCTCTTGTGCTAAAGACTCCACATCTACGCTGGTGTAATCAACATCCCAAGATCTTTGGAGTAAACATCATTGAGAAAGCCATATAAATCCAGATAAAGGAAAGCAAAATGCTTACATGCAGCTGATGTGCTGACCAATCGGGAGACCAAGCACCGAAGTGGGAGTGGGGAGGCCGAATCGCAACTTGACCACATTGTGACTGACCTGCTCTTTCTTCACGCACTTGAATTTCAACCATTTCTCAGGTACGAGAATGGCTGCAAATCAAGTGAAAAACCAATCGCCGAGTTAGTGTAAAACAGGGACAGACACAATGTAACCCCTCTTCCTCTTACATATGGAGAAGGAAAAAAAAAAAAAAAAAAAAAAAAAAAAAGAAGAATAAACTGAAAGAAGTCGAGACGAGTCCTATGCTCGGCAACGTTCCACAACCTCGAAAAACGAGAACCAGAACACGCTCGAATCATCTCTCCAACAAAACACAGAAAACAGAGCCAGAGCAAAACAAATAAATAAATAAATAAATAACCCACTCTTCTTGCGGTTCACAAAATAGAGGAAGGCAGCGCCTGCGACGACCGCCACCAAGGCGATTGCAACGCCCACTTGAGTAACTTGGTCATTCTGCAGCCTCTCCAACACGCTCTCCATTTCCACAACCAGCACCAGCACCCACTATCGACCCACCTCTACAGCCCACAACAACCCAATCCGCAACTTCGATCTCTCCGCGACACAACAACAACAACAACAACAACAAGACAGTCGTTGTGGTCGTAGTAGTACCAAAGCGCGGAGTCAGCAGAGGAGGGAGCAAGCACGGTCAGTCCATAAGGAGGCGCAATCCTCCGATGGTGGTGGGAATGAATTAAAGGGAATGAATGAATGCCCCTCTTCCTCCTTCTCCTCCTCCTCCTACTACTACTACATTCCAGGGAACGGATGTCGACCCAGTCAGCTTTGGTTGGCTTCCCGCTTTGCTTTGGTTTACTTTGCTTCCCCTTTGCCCTACCTTGTGATGCCCCTACCACCACCTCCTCCTCCATTGAGCAATGAAGTGCCTCTTCTTCGTACCCTTGTTCGCCCATCTTGCTCCCCCCTTGTATCCTCCATTTCCTCTCTTCCACTTTGCTTATTGATTTACTTATTTATTTACTTGCGTATGTGTACATATCTGTGTGTGTGGGTGGAAATGAGATGATAAAAGAGGGATTTTTGAGTGACGTTGATGGGCTATAGAGCAGTGTTGAATGAGGAGATAAAAAAAAATGAGTTTTGAAGGAATTTTTTTTTTGTATATTTTAACAAGGTTATTACTTTTTAGGAAAATGTATCTAAGATTTATTTTTGTATTTTTTCAAATAGTTAGTTAGCATTAAAGTTGTATCATAGAATTTGTTTTTGTTTTGTTGTTAATGTATTGATCATGTTTAGATCCTTAATCTTAGAAAAGCTTTAGAGTGTCCCTAGAGATATACTTTGCTACAAATAGTCGTAAGTATTCTTTTATTAAATTAATTTTACTTTTACTTTTTGATTTCAATTAGTATCAGAATTATATATAAACTTTCTACACCACTAATTAGAATATTTCTTTGTTCCAGTGAGACATATCCCAGGAAAAACATTAAAAATAAAATAAAAACTAAATAAACTAAAATTTATATATAATAAATAAGTAAATAAATAAATAAATAAATAAATAAATAAATAAATAAATAAATAAATAAATAAATAAACTTGTGCTTGAAAATTTTATTTTATTTACATATATATAGTAAAAAATATAATTTTAATATAATTTAATGTTTTTTACAACGAATTAAATCAAACTTCTAAAAATTAATATCTATAGAATACAATTAGGTGAAAATATTTTCAAATCTGGTTAATTTTTTTACATGTTGTAACTTGTATGTTCTATTAACAAAGCTTCCACATTTTAAACAAGAACTTAGATTTGTTAAAAATTAAAATAGTAATAAAATGATGTGTAGAGTATTGCTAATAACTCCACAATTTATGCTACTACCACCACAACTTACGACCCACTCAACATAGTTTTTTAGTCTTCTTTTTTTTTTCAATAAAAAAAACTATGAATGTTTCTAATGTGTTAATTACTTTTCAATATTGTCAATGTGTTTTTTTTCAAAATATATAGAAATAAGAATAAGTTGTGGTGACAATAATAAAAAGTGTGGTGATATGTGGTGGATTACAAATTGTAATGACACTAGCAAAAACTTAGTGGCATTAACAACACCCTATGTATATATATATATATATATATATAACTCCAAATTTTAAAAAAATATATTTTGTTAAATTTATTAAACCTATTAGTTACAAATAATATTCACAAAAATTGGTAAGTATCATATTTGTGTCTCACCTACAGACACCAATAAGAATCTACCTATGTGCACATTTCCTTTCAGAATAATCTAGTATTGACTTATAATTGTCAACTTATAAATGAGGCAAGTACACGAGCATAGAACCCAAAGATGCCTGCATAAATTGTACAGATAAGAATCACAGTGATAATTAAATATGATATGTATCCACATTCATTGTGAGTTCAAAGACGCACGAATCTTTGGACCATATTTCATCACAATAACGACTAGACTGCAGTCAGCCCCGAAGACACTTTCTGACATTTTGACGCCCTTGGACACAAAAATTGGTGAAAAGTCAAGGGTAATATATCCATAGCCACAAGCAAGGATAAGACATCCTGCATTGTGGGTTTGATCGCACTTATTAAAGAAGATATCTGATAAATCTTAAGTATCAATTATAATGAACGGAGAAGGTAGAGCGTAAGTCTGATGTGGAAGTAAAGATTCATGAGAGGTATTGAACTGGTGGTGCAGTTGGATTTAACCAACCCCGTTTGACACTCGGAATTTTCATGTCTCTGAAGTCAGCCGTTTGAATATGGACATCTAGATGGTGCCACATTAACTCATCAGTGAAACATAGCACATAAAGGGACAGCACAAGCTGATTTTAGTCATGCTTGGTGCACATTGACCAGGCTCTCACAATCATACATAATTATTTCCGATTTGCTTGATAAGGCGTACAAGAAGGTTCTTTTTCCACAGAAGTATAGCTGCAACTCTCGAGGTATCAACTCCTGTAATGACCTCCTGTTCAGTCTAAAGGTTCCATACAAATGGTATGATTCTGAGATTATCGTACAGTTCAACCATCTTCGGAATATTCCAACCAGATTTTGTTTTGTTGTGTTAGATCTTGTGAAAATCCCAGGATAACTACAAGAAAGGAGGGGATGCATGTCACCAAAGAGAATGAAGCTAATCCAGCAGGTGCCTGGCTCCAAACAATCAGCCAGGACATTCATCAGCAGCACCAATCAAGCCCGGAACTGTGGCACGCCCCTGGAAACACTTCTGAACTCGACGACATGAGCACGCACAAGTCAACGCATAATGATAAGAGAGAAAATGTGGGCTCAACAGCTCTAGAGATGGTCACAATACTCAGATCTCAACACTGGAGACGGCAGTTCATCCTCAACTGATACCTCACATCAAACATACACTCCAAAGACACGTTACTTTCAGCATACTCTTCAACTTCCCCCAAAAAGTAAAAAATGTAAAACGAAATAAGTCGCATAAGATGTGAAAAACTATTTTCTTCCAGATTATGAGTATCCACCGTTCGTCAGCACTAGAAATGAGTACAAATTTTAGTGCAAAAGCTGGGATCTCCTGCACAGACCCTGCGAAAAGTTCTCAGCTTTGAGCTGGCCCGCCGTTAGTTGCATTCTCAGGTTCACCTGGCCCCAAATTTAACAAACAAATGATTCAGATAAGACATATGTGAAATTAGATCCGCAATCTCCAAACTAAACTATTTTACTCGAAGAGAACCTCTGCTTTTATAAATTAAAAAACCCGGTATTTTCAATACAAATCATAAAGAAAGGGTAAGCACGAATGCGGCAAGTTATTTAGCATGCATTACTGTTGATCCATACGCACCTTGACCGTCAACGTGGCCTTCACCTTCCCCTTCGGCTGCAAGAAGAGATGATCGTCGTGATGAACCCGACTGATGAGATGAAGGCTGCAAAACCCCATCACAAAAATAAATAAATAAATAAAAACAAAATCGTCCTCAGCCTCTTGTCCATAAAAACATCATTTGATCTTCTTAGTTTGACATACACTACACAACTACGCATTATTCGCACAATTGACCACACGTGCGGTACAAAAATTCAAGAAGGTCAATGCCAACCTAACTTGGCCGTCAACAAATCATTCCAATCTCACACAAGAGCACCATCCTGCCAGCACTATAAATTAACTGCTTTCCAAAAACAAAGAATTGCCTCCACAGATAGTTTCCGTTGTGTGAAAAATAGTAGAATCATAACAAAGCCCAACAATGTACGTTGCAAACCTCACTTAAGACATAGATATTCAAGCATATTAAAAGTGCAGAATTTGAGGACACACCTGAAGTTTAGGTCGCAGAGTCTCCATAAGACTGCGCGGCTTCTGACCTGGAGGTGCTCCACCCTGCTGCTCCCAAGAGTGAACGAGGACAGTAAGTAATCTCATCCACAATCGTACTTGACGTATTCCAATAGTCAAAACTAAGGGTCTCACGGAACGAGTGACATTCATGACATCGATTACTACTACCATACAGAAGACTTAATTGGACAATGGAAACATTTGAAGGATTTTCAAACTCTGAATAAAACTTCAGTTCGTACATCTGGATGGAGTAGCCTAACCTTTCCAAGAGCCCAGTCAGCCGAATCAAAGAAGGCACGCTCGTGATCCTGGCCCATAACATAACAAAACATATATCAGTCAAGTGAGATTATTATTGTACGCGTAAAATGTGACCAAACCGCTATAACATCCCAATAAAACGCAGTTGCAGAACGAGGAACAAAACCCCCTAACCTTAATAGGCCAACTGACACGGCCCAGGTTCTCACAACCCGTATGTGAATACAAATGCGTTTCAGGAATCAACATGGTAGTAGGGTACATGCGTATTACCTTGGAGATCAGTGGAGGCTTCTTAGGCATAAGACCGCCATATTTCTTCTTCATGATTGCCTCCTGCAGATGTATAACAATGATAGTCAATAATAACGCAAATTCATGCTACAGTTAACATGTTTTGAAACCAAACACGTAATAACGACCATATGTCTAACAGCATATCTGGACATATATGTAGTCCCTTTTCTGAATATTTAACTAAGAGGACAGTAATAAAAATACGGAGAGTACTGTAAAAAAAAACCCGACGCAGTTTGAAAAATGTGCAACAATTTTAGACTGAAATCACTCCTGAATACGTTTCTAACCCCCAATGTAAAGAAACATGACCACATACACGAAACACTGCCGATGAGCTGTCCCACACACAGAAATGTCAACATCAACGATTTGAATGTAACGGCTAGAATATAAACAATGAAGATTTCCAGAAGATGTAATTAAAAAAAAAAAAAGGAACTACGAAGAAGAAGTTTTAACGAGGGACAATTAGAGTGCACCTCTTCAGCGAGAGAGGGGATTGGTGCCTGAACATGCTTGTTGTCCGCCTGGTCACCCATAGCCCCGAGCTTCTTCTTTCACCCGTCAATCTACAATAGGATCACCACAAGAAAATAGGATCTGAAATGGGATATTGAATGCAATCAGTCGAACGTACCAACAAACACAAATAAAATCACTGCAAGCGCGATCATGTTATCAAAAGGTCATCGTGATCAACATGGCTAAGTCCAAACAATTCATCCAGATCTTTGACTGCTAAAGCCCAAAATCGAACTGCACTACCCCCCCCCCCGGTACCCAATTATTGCGATACAGTGGCCAAGGATAGGGGAGATGGAAACAATCAACGCTTCAGCCACCGTATCGACATCGGTAGACAGGTCAAGAGAATGGCGCAGTTAGCATCGAGAAGAACGAAGTACCACACACGACATCTAATCGAGTCCAACCCAGAACGAGATTTGAAAAATCCAAAATCTCCACACGATCACGATAGCTGGATCTTGAGAGCCAACCCCACAGCACTAGCCATCCGACATCAAACCACGGATCCCCACCAACAAAACCATCCGCGTGAAAAGAAAAGAAAAACCTAAAAATGCCTTACCGACTCTCAAATTGGTCCCACGTAGAACGAAAGAACAGATTTCGCTGTGAATCTACAACATCCCGTACCCAGCCCCGCGTCAGGCTCACTCGGAACCCATCCAACCCATCAACAACACCCTCACAGACCCGGAAAAAATGCGATACGCCCGCCACCTAATCGCACATCAAGAACGAAAACCCAGCAAAGCACTCACGCACAAGCACAGCGTCCCGTTGCGTCACAACCCTCGCCCTCCCACTCTCGCGCGCTAGCCGCAGCCGAAGCGTCGACACTCAGCACGCGGAAACCGAAAACGCGAGAAACTCCACCAAAGTGCACGACGCCCTTCCTTCCTTCCTTTCCGGCAAATCAGCAGCAGCAGTAGTAGTATCACATCACCCGAGGAGGAGGAGGAGGAGAAGGCGTGGAAGGAGAGGTGTTGTAGCAACACCAGCACCACCAGCACCGTCTGTCTGTCTTGGCATATATCACTCACTCACTCACTAGTAGTAGTAGTAGTAGTGGTGGTAGTGCGACATATCAGCAGCAGCAGCAGCCTTTCTCATCCACAATGGAAAAATAAATGCTCTCCCTCAGCGAAGAAGACTCTGGCACCCAACACAGCACAGCACACAGCAAAGCAAAGCAATGCAATGCAAAGAGATACACTACTAACTTGCTTACTTACACACATGAAAATGAAACTCAATCAAATCAGATCCCCACCCTGCCCTACCCCCTGCCCTCCTGCCCAGCGTATCATGTCCCTGTGCCCTGATTGTTGACTACTGATGTGGTGATTGAATATACCCACCCCCCACCCTACCTCTCTGGGTCTGGGTCTGCGTTCTTTTGAAGCACTAGTTCGGAGGAGGAGTCGACCTTGTTCCCTCCCTGTTGGTTGGTGCTTTCCATGTGGCCTCCATCCACATCCATATCTATCTATCTATCCATATATCTATGAATGTAGAGCGGGATTGATTATAGTTTCCACAACATGGAAACTAACCAACAAAAAAAAAAAAAAAAAAAAAGGTTATTTCTGTTCTTGTTCCTTTTTATTATGGGTGCACAAAGATTCTTGTGGCTTTGTTTGTTTGTTTGTTGTGGAATGCATGTTCTTCCCTTGTGTGTGTGTGAATCCTTGTTACAAAACTTGTAGGTTGCAATATATGATTGTTTTTGTTTATTTTTTTTATTCTGAGTCTATCCACAAAATAAACAATAACAATAAAAGTGAAAATCAAGATTTTGTGTGAATTGAAGAGGTGTAGTTTGATTGATTGTTCAAATAAGATTATAATTTGTATTAAATTTAATACTATATATTTTTAAAATATGTGTCTTCTATTTATAAAAAATATTAATCAACATCATGGTTTATTTTAATGATTCTATGCATGCATCTAGTTTTTAGATATTTGTTGTGTATTAAATATGAGAAAGGAAGATAATTGAGGTATATCTTTGTAAGTACAAATGTGTATGTATAGTAAGAATTAACATATATTCATTCATACATAAAGTTTTCAAAAGTCTTACAAATCAAATCAAATTCTTGTATTCATGAAGTATTCAAAAATCATAAACAAATAAAATAAAAATACATTATTATCATTGAATAAAAATTAAATTATGTTTAAAATAAATACATATAAAAAAATAAAGAAGAAGCATTTGAATTGATGGACTCAAATTCTAAAATATTTTTTTTATATAAAATATTGTATTTTACATATAATTCAATTGATTGATTAATTTAAAATTTTAAAAATTATTCAATAAAAAATATAATATTTCTTATGTTTATTTATTATTAAATATACTATAAGATTAATAATAAATAAAAAATATTTATTTTTATCTATTTTTAAAATATAGTTGCTATTGACATATATATTTACCTAAATAAGAAGTGTTAGGTAGAAAATAAATATAGATAGATTTGATATTATCCTGTGGCAAAGCTTTTTAGAAGCTTCATAGATGTATATTTGACTGTAGACATGATTGTAGTTGATTGGTAGATTAAAAACTTAACCAACAAGTTAGCCATGTGTTGCATATATCAACAGCTTGTGAAACAAGCTAATTATGTAGCATACATATAAAAAACTAGTCTTAAAAATTAGACACATGTCTCATAAGTTGGGCATATTTCTAAGATCTTATAGAATGTTGCCACATAGCTCATAGTTAGATAATATATAGAAAAGCAAGAATAAAACCTTTTTTTATTTTTACTACCACATTTTTAGTCTTTAATCTTATTTTAAGACTTTTTAGTCTTCTTTTCGTTAACAATAGCCATTATTGTTTAATATTATTCCACCTTTGAGTGTTTTACTAGTCTTTTGGAGTAACATAAGAGTGTATTGATCTTTTAGTTCTTTGAAATTCATATTCTTGATAGTTTAGCTAGAGTACTAACTTATTCTTTTTATTTTTTAAAAAAAATGAATAGATTATTTTATTTCTATTATTATATTTTAAAATTTATAAATTATCTAATTTAAAATTTATAAATTATCTAATTTTAAATTTATATTTAATTTTTTAATATCATTATTAATTTTTTTTTAAAGGAAGTAGATTATCTCACTTTTATTGTTGTATTTTGAAAGTTACAAATTATCCACCTTTGAACTAACATTGATTTTTTATTTAAAAAAAATAGATTATTCTTCTTTGTAGAAATTTTTATTTGATATTAGAAGTTGCAAATTATCTTCCTTTAATTTGACTTATGAATTTATTTGAGTGGTCTATAGAAGAAACAATTATGAATGCTACCTTTGGCAAAAGTAAGAATAGATTTGCAATTATTGTAGATCTTCATGAGCTTGTCAATATTCTTAGGTGGAAATCTCACATGTCTCTAACATCAATCATGAATGTCGTATTCCTTCACCTATGGAAGAAGTCAAAAATAAAATCTAAATTCTATGTTAAGAAGTTGTGCAATTGAAAGAAGGAAGAGGATCAAATTGATAACTAAATTTGAAAAGTCTTGATATTATAAGTATTAAAAAATTAATGATAAATATGCTAGAAAAATTTAATAAAACAAATTTAAAGGTTTAAGGATTTCTACAATAAGTGAAATTCTATCTAAAGTTGCATCCTTTTTAATATCTTGATAGATTTACTCAAGATGGATTCATAATTATACTTTTATTTAAAAGTGCTTTCTTTTAATTTTTAATTTTGATAAAAAAAAAAATGATTCATAACCACTCTATGATTTAAATTAATTATTAGAAGTCTTTATAGCCATATTTGGAGAAAATAATTAAGAAAGGATAATAAAAATCAAATTCATATGTTTACAAAAAATTTCACATTCAATCACTATATATGTTGGTAAATTTTGAAACTTCACTTGTGACATAGATTGAAATGACAAAGTCCTTATTAATCAATTTTGGTATAGATTAAAAGATAACATCAAAGATTTATTATTGATAATACCAAAAGCAAATTGATTAGAGCAATTTATTACTCAAGCCATTACATGCGACAATCAACTCTTTGAAAAGACACCAAGAATAAAGATTTGGTTAGAGAGATACAAGTCCAGTCATGGAAATTGCTTCTAAATTCACAAAAGCTTATTCATTAAGACCAAAATATATGCAAATTAATATGATACATTTAAAATTTCTTATCGAATAATAAAAGACTTGATATTGTTATAAAAGTTTGTATTTATATTATAGAGAATTTAAGCATATTATTCAACAATAATATTCAAAGAAATAATATAATTCAAAAATGAGGAATATGGTTGCTAAAAAAGACAATGTGTTGGAAAATTAATTTTTTTTAGCTATAATAGAGACTATATAGTTGAAAACTCATGTAATATCTAATAAAAGTGTTACTCTCTTCTCACATCCTTCACCTTGTTTTATAATAGAAAATTTTCTAAGACCAAAAAATCACAAAGTCTTTCCTTTGTTAGATTTAAGAACCTCATCTTCTTTTATAGACAAAGACTTTGTCAAAAAATAAAAAATATTTTTAATTAAAATAATCAAATTCATTGCCTTTTAGAAATATTATTCATAAAATTATTTATTTAGATATAAAAACTAATGGTTATAATAGCTTAGTAGTATTTAACATGATTATGAAATGAGATTAAATTCTCTTAAAGATCTAAAATCCTTTGAATTTATAGCAATATTAATCCCATCACAAAATAGGATAAAATAGATTAGAACAAAATTGAACAAAACTAAATAGAATAGAATATAAAAGACAAAACAAAGCAAAAAGAAATAGAACACAACATAACAAAAAATACAAACCAAACTTTACTAAGAGAAAAGGACCAAAGCCATAGCTCACCAAATGCTTCAAATGGCCTCAGTCAGTCATATTTATACTTTGTCCAACCATCTTAGAATTTTCTAGAATGTTTCTAATGGTGGGCTCCATCAAGATAACCGTCTTTCTAAAAGATTTTAGAAATGGGCATTATTTAGATAATCACCTTTAATTCTTTTAGGATATTATATGCTTGACTCCACATTCACCACCAACTTGACCTCAATTCTAAAAACTTCTAGAAACTTCTAAAAAATGGCTCCAATTATCTATCTCTATGCATTAATAATATAATTTTCTTATCCATGCCTTTTTACAATTAGATCTTCTTTTAATCCAATCATTTTAGGATTATTGCAACTAGAGAAGTATAACCTTTACATAGATTGGATTTCTCATAATTTTTTTTATTTTTCTATTGGTTTAACCTAAGATTTTATTACTCAAATAGAAATCCATAAGTCCAATGCAACCAAATCTATATTGATGGATGTAAACACTTTTATGCATGTTGCTAAAGAAGGGTCATTTTTTGTTATATATGCCACACTCATTTTTGATGGTATAAAAATTATAATTAGCATTCTAAATAAATATTAAGATTATCAAGATATTTTTGAGAAAAAAAATACAAATATCTTTTCAAAGCATCATCTATATGATTTTTCAATTAATCTTTAAAAAGAAAGTCAACAACTATTTGCACCAATCTATAGCTTATCATAAAACAAATTAGCTATATTAAAGGAATACATTGACAAAAATTTAGTAGAAAACTTCATACATCATTCAAAATCTCTAATAAGTACTCTTATCTTATTTGTGAAGAAAAAGTTAGATCATTGTAGATATGTGTAACTATTGAAAGCTCAACAAGAAGTCTTATTGATTTGAAGAATAGGTACTTTTACTTTTGGTTTTAAGACTTCTTGATCAACTCAATCAAGCTAAGATCTATAAAAAAATAATTCTACAAAGAATATACAACCTAATAAACATCAAAAAAAGAAATGAATAGAAGACTATGTTTTCAGCTAAGTATGGATATTTTTAATATAATATCATATTTTTTAGACACACAAATGTTCCAATTATTTTTCAACATTTAATGAATGATGTTTTTTTGAGAGTTTCTTCATAATTTTTTCATTTATTATTTACATAATATTTTAATTTATTCTAAAAATACTCAAGAACATGAGCTTCATATGTGTCATGTGTTATAAAAACTTAGAGATACAAGAATATATATTAAGATAAAAAAGTATATATTTCACACTACTCAAGTTGATTTCTTAGTATACAACATTTCAAATGATGGCCTTATGATAGATTCTAAGAAAGTCAAGA